GGGGGGGGGGGGAGCGCGAGTGGCAGGTGACCGGTGGGTGTTTCTCACATCGTGTTTCTCTCCCCCCCCCCACTCCCCCTTCCTCTCTCATTAAAATCAATAAAATCATATCCTTGGGTGAGGATTTTTTTTTAAAGTAATTTAAGCAAAATGAAAGTTTTTCTTAAACTACCCAAATTCGACTTTTCCACCAACTTAGGTGTCTCTACTACCAAATCTTATTTCAAACTGAACAGAATATTTTATGCCTCACTTCACAGCACAGAATGTCGGTTAAAATTAGAAATTTTCATTTTATGAAATAGAAGCTAATATCACTATTAAGTGAACTGTAGCAGACATTTGCATTGGTTTCTAAGTGACCTGTGTCCTTCCCCATCGTCCAGCCTCCATCCAGAGAGGACACCATCTCTTTGGAAAAGACCTTCCACAGCCTGCCCCCCATTCCAGGTGTAGCACTTGAGAGTTTCCCATAATACTCTGCGCATGGCTGTTACTTCATTTACCGTGTTGCTTTATAATTTATCTGCTTGTGTTTGTGTTTCCACCCCCTCCCTCTCTCCTAGAGCTGTACGTTTTCAGAGAGGCAGCAGTGTCTTAATATTTTTCTGTTCCCAATACTTTGCATAGAAGCTGGCATGTAAGTGCTTGGTAAATGCCTGTTGGCGAATTGGGTGAATTTAAGGACCCAGAGTGCGTTCTAAGTCTGATAAGACAGTGTAACCTTCTTAGTTATTTTGTAGCATGCTTGAGGCTTTTCCCAATGGGAGGATAGTGGACTCCATGGAATACACACAAGAACCACCTATGCAAGAATTTGAAGACAAGAACCCTGCAGTTGATCTGGGTGCCCTAGGCTTTCAGACCATTTCTCACTGGTAAATGAGAGCACCCAGCTTTACTCTGAAGCAGTGTATATTCAATCTGCTGACAGGACTAGCCACACAGAAAATCAAATTTCTATCAGGGAAAGACCACAGATCTGAATCTTCTAGTCTTTTTAGCAATTATATTTCTCATAGTAAATTTAAGAAGTTGACACTGTAGTTATCAGTCAGGCCCCTTGTGGTTTTGTTTTTCTGGGACCTGTTTATTTCTGGTGGAAGTGATAAAATTGGCTCCTTGGTCTTACAAAGACGAGGACTGTCCCAAGATCTGTGCCACATGAAAAGGCAAGCAGCCAGGGGGAGGGGGAGGGGGAGAGAGAGAAAAGAGAAAAATCAGTGTGATTCGAACCCACAGCCTGGGCATGTGCCCTGACCTGGAATCGAACCTGCAATCTTTTGGTGCATTGGAGGATGCCCAGCCAACTGAGCCACACCAGCCAGGGCCTAGGGGCTTGTCTTAAATACTGAATGAATAATGCTAATCTCTGCTTTATTCCTTTTCTTCATTTAATTTATATGCTAAAAGCATTGATTTTTAAAAAAATTTTTAAGAGTATGTCATATGTTCATTGTTAATAAACTAGGAAATAAGAAAAAATTAAAGCACTTAATATCCTACCACTAGCTAACTAGAGATAGCTATAGATTGCATATGTATATCCTTCTAGTCTCTTCTTTGCAAACTTTGAGCCTTGTACCTGTACTGTCTTAACTAAGGCTGGATTTGCTTTTTTAAAGATTTTTTTGGTATATTTTGGGTAGCAGCCCTTTTTCAGATACATGTGTTTTTTGCAAATATTTTCTCCCAATCTGTGCCTTGTCTCCTCAATTTCTCTACATTGTCTTTCAGAGAGCACAGGTTCTTAATTTTAATGAAGTTCAATTTATCAGTTCTTTCACCAGTACCACACTTGTCTTGATTCCTGTAGCTTTATAGTAAGTTTTGATGGTGGGTAATGTCAGTCCCCCAACTTTGTTCTTCTTCACTATTGAGTTGGCTATTCTGTGTCATTTGCCTTTCCCTATAAACTTTAGTATGAGTGTCAATACCCATAAAATAACTTGCTGGGATTTTTATTGGAATTGCATTGAATCTATAGATAAAGTCAGGAAGAACTGACATCTTGACAGTATTGACTGCTCCTATCCATGAACATGGAATATCTTTCCATTTCTTCTTTATTTTAATGAGAACATTTATTTGGAAAATCACAGAGGTAGAAGAAGTAATTTGTAGAAGAAATGGGCTTAGGATACAAGTTACAGAGGCAAAGGAAGGGCCCTTCTTGGAGCTTAGAAGTGAGGAAGGTGAAGGTGACGTGTCTGAGGTGGAGGGGTAAGGCATGGACGTGTTCCCTGGAGGGAGAGCACCTAGTTCTTTTTTGACTTCTTTCATCAGAGTTTTGTAGTTTTCCTCATATAGGTCTTGTACATTGTTAGCTTTATTGCTAAGTATTTCATTTTGGTGAGTGCAATGTAACTGGGTAATGTTTTTTAACTTGTTCATTACTGGTATATGCTTAACTTTTTAGTGATTAATGGATGCCTGGAAGTTGACGTACACATATATTCAGAAATGTTTTGCCTCCTGAGATCTGTGAGGAGGTAAGCTTCATGGTCCAATCTATAATTTCTATTGGGGGGCCTGTTATGCATTTGGCTAATCTTAATTTATTGTTACTTTTCAAGTTCTAAAGTGATTTTATATTATGGTGAAGGGCAAGAACAAAAACAGAAAAAAAATTCACATGAAAAGCCAGGTCCTGCAAGAGCCCATTCAGAGCAGAAGATAAAAGAATACCGTCTTTCAGCCCTGGCAGGTGTGGCACAGTTGGCTGAGCATCCTCCCATGTACCAAACCTTGCAGGTTCGATTCCCAGTCAGGGCACATGCCTGGGTTGCAGGCTTCATCCCCCAGAGGGGGTGTGCAGGAGGCAGCCAATTGATGTTTCTGTCTCTCCCTCTTCCATCCTCTCTCTCTCTACAATCAATAAAAAACATTGAAAAAGAAGAAGACCATCTTTTACAGTAGTTCAGCGGGGAAAGCGTAAGAGGAAAACAGATAAAGTTTGTCTTTAATACACTTTTTATCATGTTGTCCTCAAGTCTGCTGTTATCATATGGAAAACCACTCTTTGCATCTAAATTGTATACTAAGGTCATTTGACTGCTATATTTACTATTTATGTATGTATTCTGGAAATCCTAAGAATCATTCCAGCAAGACACAGGACTTCTCCAGTGGGTGGCTTTGGCTCAAGGACTCCCCCTTGACATGGCTGAGCCCTTCTTGGAACTGTGCCTCAGCCCAAGACTTCCTACCCAGCACCCCTTCCCCCTCTCCTTCTACAGGTCTGAATCATGGTCTAAAAGCTCTCCCTACCTTCTCCTTCCTTTCCCAATAATCCTCTTGCACATCTAATCCTGTCTTGGCCTCTGCTTTCAGCAGACCCAGACCAACACAGCAAACAACGTATACGTAAAACATATTTACTGCCTTCAAGAAAACAGTGATAGTCACAGGTGGGTAGGTGGAAGGAAAGAAGAACAAATGAAAAAATATTATTTACACGTTATGGTATTATGTTCCAAATAGTTTTTGTTGTTTTGTTTTTAGTGCACAAGAGGAAAAGACTGTTAATAATGAGGATTCAAAAGGGAAGGTTCTGGGGGAAATAGGCACATTGCCTCCTGGCACATAGTAGGTCTGCATAGTAGGTAATTGTTTAGTGAGCACAATTTGGATAGATGGGTGTGAGGGACAGGGAGGATGTGTTAGAGCTTAGACACCATGTAGAAGAAAAGAACCAGTATGATCGCTGGAACTGAGGATTTCTGTGAGGAGTGGTGGGAGATCAAGTTTGAGAGATAGATTGGAAATTATCCTAGAGGACTTTATATACTAGACTAAGGCATGAATTTTATTCTGCAGGAGTCGAAAGACCATAAGTGGTGTGTTAGTAGGAAATACAGTGATAGTGGGATTTTAGAGACATAACCTGTGTGCAGTATGGTTAGGGAGAGGCAGATTGATTCTGAGGCTCTGCTGCCCAGTTTTGTGATGGTAATTGGTAGCAGGAAAGTGGAAAGAAGGAGTGATTCAAGGGACACTGTAAAGTGAGAAGAAACAGACTAACTGCATATGGAGTGGGGGTGGTGAGCTAGTTTGAGCAGAAATGGACCTGAGGTTTTGTGCTTTGACAACACTGAGCAAAGCAGTACCACAGAAACAGAAATGATCCTGGATTGAACAGGCTGCCTGCTCCCTTGCCTTTTGTATCCAGGCTGAGTTTAGAAGGAAAAAAATGACCTCTACTCCTTTATGTCCACTGGTTTTACAAACTGTGTGGCACTCACTGCTTGTTAAAACTTGGTAGACTTAAGAAAACCAGTTTTGCATTTTGGTTTCTATCTTGTTCTGTGGTATTTTGCATGCGCAGTAATTGTGATGCTGCCGTCACTTTACGCACTGGGGATGTGCATGGACGTCTGCGCCTCAGCGAATAATAAATCCGCATCTTTTCAAAGGTTGTGTCTGGAGAAGGTGTCTCCACGCTGGTTTTTTTGTTCGAGAGCGTTCTCAGGAGCAGAAGCAGTCAATGCCTTGAGGCCGTTCTATTTTGCAGTGCACCCAGATTTCTTTGGACAGCACCCCAGAGAAAGGGTAAACATTTATTTTTTTAACATTTAGTCTACATTTCTGTTTAGTTTATTTGCCTTGGTTACAGTATAATACAGAGCGTTCTACACATTTGCATTGCTCTATCGTGGTGATATAATCAGTGCTTTGAACGAGTTTGAAATATAGATACTGCAAACTGAAAAGATGCTGTTTTTAATGAAATCTGACATTTTTATGCAGACAATAAGGCTAGCATGTAAACTCTTCAGAGTATTAGTAATTGTTTTTTCTGTACCAGGTTTTTTTTTAGTAGAATTGAGGGTTTGAAAGAATGTTTAAGGCCTCTGTTTCCATGATGAGTCCTTTTTAAAGGATGATCCAAGAAAGGTTTTTCAGTGCCCTGATGGTGTCCCTTGTATTGAATACTGCCAGTCCTTGTCCCTGCAGCATCAGTCAGTGTGTGCTCAGGGAACGCAAACTAATGGGAAAAATAACTTAGGATAAATGGAGTTACAAAGGCCAATACATTTTACACTGGATAGTAGATTACAAATATAGTAGATTATAGGAGGTGAATGTTTTCCCTCCTCTACCAATGCAGTGAAATCCCAACTTTTTTTTAATACTGAAGTATTTAATACCCTCAATATGTTTAAAAGGTCAGGATAAAATTTCTGTTGTTTTCTTGTTCTCGTTTGTGTGTAAATGCCCCTTAATATCTTTTTCCAGGAAGTCAATGAAAATTCCCTTCAGAGGTTAAGTGTCTATTTAGAAAACCTCCAGAAACCAGGCTTCAAGTCCTTGAAACCAACTCAGCTCACATTTTATGTGAGAGAAACAGACCAGAATTCCTCTGATGGCCAGGAACCCTTTAGTACTTTTGGTATGTTTTCTTATTTCTAGTTTGTCCTTTGCAAGCTTCATGTTAAATAGGTTCATTCAGTCTGACGTTGCCAGAACACCTTTGGGACAAAGTCTTGGTCATAGAAAAATAATATCACTGAATTGATTTCTTTTCCTAGAATTAGATTCTATTCCTGGCTGCATGTGTTTAAATAAGCCATGTTTTGTGTTTAAACTTTTCGTCTATAAAATTGAAGTGTTCCTATTTGTCCCCTTCCTATTTTAGTGCTGTTTTAAGTGTTAAACGTGTATGTAACAGTTTATATATTTTTAAAGTGAAGCTTATATTCTCTTATTTAGTCCTCAAAGTACCCTGCAGGGTAGGTAGTAATTGTAACTTAGTAATGTCCAGCAACTTTCCCAGGACCATGGAGATAGAATATGGGTGAGAACCCAGGTCTCTTACCTCCAGCCTTATGTTGTTTTTAGAGCGAATCATTCTTGATACACAGCGTTCTGTTTGCTCGTTTGTCACAGCTTTAGCCATCCATGATCCACTAATACTTAAAATTAAGAGCAAATGTGGTTCTATTATTTCTCTAAATATATAGCCTTTCAGTTACCCTTGAGGAAATAACTTTATTTTTAGAATGAACTTTAAAACAACCTAAAGATGTACTAAGAATTTTCTGTGAGTGAAGGCTAAAACAATTAGAAAATACAATGTAATTTTTTTGAAACAAACTATTAATGAAACTCAAAATTTGATAGGTCTCTTGAGACCTAGAATCTATTTCTAGCTCTGCTGGTGACTAGCTGTGTGACCTTAACCCCTGGTTCTTCACTGTTAAACTGAAAGGGGTGGAGTACTGTGTGTGAGTACAAAGCTGTCACATCCAAGGTCCCTAACTTACACCGAATGCTCCCAGGCTCCCGGGACCTTGGGTGGAGGAGGAGGAGCTTGATCTGAAAGGTACTAAAACAGGATCTTTATGTTTAAGACAGCGTGCACCCAGTCTCTCCAGGGATGAGCATTTGGCAGCATGTTTCCTCCTATCTTTTACTCCCCTGTGCTTGGATATGGGAGATCAGAAATCACAAGGTCCTTTCCTTGGCTGTTTCTCCATCTACCTCTGACGTGGAGTTTTATTAAAAATAGACCCTAGCCTGGCCGGGCATGGCTCAGCAGTTGAGCATTGACCTAGGACCCAGGAGATGGCTGTTCGATTCCCAGTCAGGGCACATGTCCAGGTTGCAGGCTCGATCCCCAGTCAGGGGCGTGCAGGAGGCAGCCGATCAATGACTCTTATCATTGATGTTTCTATCTCTCCCTCCCCCTTCCTTTCTCTGAAATCAATAAAGATATATTTAAAAAAAAAATTTGACCCTAGCGCAACCAGTGTTGCTCAGTGGTTGAGCGTTGGACTGCACAACAAAGGATTGCGGGTTCAATTCCCAGTCTGGCACGTACCTCAGTTGCAGGGGCGCGGGCAGGAGGCAACCAGTCGATGTGTTTCACTGTATAGCAGCCCTTACATTGACTTAAATAATTAATGGAGTTTATGTTTTAAAAGATTTTGAAATTATAAATTTTGTATGACAAAATTTTTGTTTTGACAGAATTTTAAATAAAGCAAATAATCATCTGTCTTCATTGTTTGGGGGAATTATATTCTCTAGGATTTCGAGCAGTCAAATTTACTTTGCACACCAGAGATCTGCTAAGCACAGTATTATATATTCTCAACTCCTGCAGTTTATCAGTTGAACATGTCCAAAGCTCAAATAGCAGTGCGCATCCCCAGCCTCTCAAAGAGGCGAAAAGGATGCCTGACAGGCCCATCAAATGGGATAAGTCTTATTACACCTTCACTGGATTCAAGGACCCAGATGAAGACCTCGAGCACGTCTCGAAAATGGAAACAACCCTAACGTATGTACAAGTTTCTGTTTAACTAAACTTATTTGCAGTTCACGTTTAAAATTAAAGTGTACTTTTCCAGGAAAAGTAATCCTATCAGTACAGTTAATTCAGTAACCTTTATGAAAAAGATAGTCATGTTTCTTAGTTGCCAGAATACTTCCAATTGTATTAAATTTTTTATCTTTTCATACCAAACACATACAGGAGACTGTTTAAGTTTTTTAAATTCTCCTCAACTTACCCCTGGTATATGAGGAAAGGATGTATCTAAATCTATTTTTAAACATTAAGCTTCTTGCCTGGCCAGTGTTGCTCAGTGGTTGAGCATTGCCCTATGACCCAGGCTTGGTCCCTGGTGGGGGCTTGCAGGAGGCAGCCAATCAATGACTCTCTCATCATTGTGTTCCTATCTCCCTCCCTCTCCCTTCCTCTCTCTGAAATCAATAAAGACATATATAATTATATATATTTATATACATATAAATAAAATTAAGCTTCTTAAAGTGTTCAGCTTCATTTTCAGTTTCTCTGGAGAGTCCAGTAGTGAGGTCCTTTACTGTAATAATCCAAACATAGTAAGAATACATGGAGACATTTTAAAATGTCATGTGGAACAGACTGATAAAATGTACAAACATTTATCATTTGTTGTGTTTGTAAATCACCATTCATGTATTTTGAGTAAGTCATTTTTGGACCCAGTAAAGACCAGCCACATTCTGTCCCTGTGGTTGTATATAAAGAGTCTGTGTCCCAGGCCGAGTGGCTTAGTTGGTTGGAGCATCGTCCCATACACCAAAAGGTTACAGGTTCGATCCCTAGTCCTGGCACATACAGGAGGCAACCACTCAGTGTTTCTCTTTCTCTCTCTCCCTTCCCCTCTAAAATCAATAAAAACATATTTTTTAAATTATATACTATAATAAAAGGAATTTAGCAATCTAAAAAAAATTAGGAAGTGCTACTCTGTGATACATATTTTAGTATTTCCAGTTTTTGGATATATTCTCTGATTATCAAATAATATAACAAAAAATATTTTAATTATATAAAATTGAATTTGGAAGGAGCCAACAAGATCCATTTCTAGCTAAACAAAATAATCCCATATGTACTATCTTTCCCAGTGCAAAAACATGCCATTGAACTTTAGAAAAACTATTGGAATGCTATTCTGTTAGCTACTGAGATATCAGTAAATGTCAGACTTCCATTTTTTCTGTTTGAATTTGCTCAAGTAGTTATATATCACTTTCAGTGTCATAAGTTCTGTGTCAGTCTCAGTGTCCACAAAATGCCACGTTGAACAAGTACACCATTGGGACTATTTCTATAGAATGTTTGGGAATTTTATAGTTAGGATTTAACTCATACATGCATTTATTTACTTTTCCCCTAGATTATCAGCTTAAGTTAGTGTTTTTCAAATTGCAAATCGTAGCACAATTTATTGATAGGGGACCAGCAAAGTTGTTTTGCTTTTTTCCTTTTTTAAATTTGTTAAATACGTATTATCAGTAAGTTTAAGTAGTGTTTCTCAAAGTACATGGTTTAGTTATATATAAATATGTGTGTGCGCACGTCCACTAAGTCACCATTTAAGATATTCCCTACCGTGAGCTGCCATCAGAGAAGTACTATTTAATAGTACTGATCACATTTAAAAGGCAGTGCATCCTGAGTGAGGAACTTGCAGTTGTTACTTTGTGGGGTCTAGCTGGGTAGACTCCAGTTTCTCCCTTTATTTTAATCTTGGTTGTTAGTACCCAGAGCTCCCAATATTTATTCCTTCATCTCTATCCAAGTCCCTTCATTTGTCAGACCTACCAGTCTAGTCCTTTTACCACAAAGCCTCCAAAAACACCTGCTGTTAAGTTGCTATGTTTACTGCCCTTAGTGCTCCTTTCCCACCTCCATTCCTTCCCACCCAAGCAAGTGCCCTGCTGAAGTCTCATCTCAGCTACTTCTGTCTACACTTGCCTCGCCCTCCTTTATTTTTTACTTATAATTTGGTCCGGGTTTGACTGGAGTTTAACATTGGGGCTACTATAAAGTAATGCATATGTGTTTCCATAGTAGGCATGTTTGCATTGTCATTAGAATGCGTATATCCCTGTTTTTCTTTCTAGATCCTGGTTAGATAACAATGGGAAACGTGCTGTTAAAAAGCTGGAGAATAGTTTGCCACTTAGAAAAGAACTAGATCGTTTAAAAGATGAACTGTCTCATCAGTTGCAGCTCTCAGATATCAGGTAATAGAGATTAGAATAAATGCATTATCTGTTGGTAAAGTTTTTCAGCAGTTAAATATTTGCATCTTTTACTTTAATTATTTGGATAACTAAATATTCAGTTATCTTTTTTTTTTTTTTTTTGCAAAGAAAACCCTACACCCCCCTGCACAACCCCAGGCTCTTCAATTATCTTTTTATGAAAGTAATCAAATGTTCATCTGTTTAAGAAAACTTTTATATTTCTTGTTTAAAATAGTGAAGTAAGGTTTAGATACTGATATATTTGTAGCTAGTTGAACTTTTTTACATAATGAGCTTGTAAGAAAAATATCCTTTTTCATATACAAATAATACGTAAAAAATAATTATCACTCCACCATGTAAGGTTGGTATTCAAGTTAAAAAGAGGAAAGGAGGGGGAAAATGGATGTTGTCTTGGCTCTATGTATACGAAAATAACTTTTTCTAGTATAAGCTCTAAAAGATCTGTTAAAGCCTGGCCATTGTGTCTCAGTGGTTGAGCTTTGACTTATGAACCAGGAGGTCATAGTTCAATTCCTTGTCAAAGGGCACTATGCCCAGGTTTCAGGCTTAATCCCCAGCAGGGGGCATGCAGGAGACAGCAGATCAATAACTCTCATCACTGATGTTTATCTCTCTCTCCCTCTCCCTTCCTCTCTCTGAAATCAATAAAAACATTTTTTTAAAAATCTGTCAGAGCACAGAGATTAGTATAATAAAAGGATTTCTTAAACATAAAGAGAAATAAGCTTTGTATTTACTTGTTTTAAATCTTTGAACATTACTAGTAATATTTTTACCCTCTGGTCAACAAGTTATTTTTCGTTTGGCCGACTTTTGAAAAGTGAGCAAGTTTAGAAATATGTTGCTTGCATACTTGAGCACTGGGGGTGAATGGATGCTTCCTCCAGGGGTGCCCGGTGTTAATGCGCCTACGTGCTCTCTGTTGGACCAGGTGGCAGCGGAGCTGGGGCCTTGCCCATCGCTGTAGCCAGCTGCATAGTTTAGGCCGCTTAGCACAGCAGAACTTGGAAACACTTAAAAATGCAAAAGGTAAACCATTCCCATTTTCTTTTAAAATATTACTTTGCTGCTATACACGCCTGTAAAGTATAGAGGAAAGCTAAGTGTTAAAAGTCTTCGCAGATGTGACTTTATCACAGCTAAATTTTCAAATCTATTTCTTTGAATAAATCAGTGACATAAAATTAGCCTTTATGCTTCTATTACATTTAATCCTGAGTTTATACACTAAATTCAAGTAATTGTGTGCACAGTGCTGAAAGGATGAAGCATCTCTGGACAGTGACCGGTGGGTTTGTGTTTTATCATCAGGGTGTACAGTAATATTTACAGACCGGTCCGGGATCAGTGCAGTGGGGCATGTGATGCTGGGGACAATGGACGTCCATCATCACTGGACAAAAGTAAGAAAAAGCTGAAATGCAAAAAAATCTCTGATTTCTCATCAACATACTTTTGTTTCAAACTATGCTGTTATGTCAGTGAACAAAAAAAAATTATATTTACATCTCTTTTCAGATCAGACGCTAAATATCATGTAGTTAAAATACTTAGAAGACTGATATTTAAGTCAGGTTTTATTTGGAAATTCTATAATTTTTTCTGAAGCATCACCTAAAAGCCACATTCTGTTGCTTTGTTTTGACTTTAACAGATTTACTGTGTATAACTGACATACAACAAACTGTATAATTTGATGAGATTTGACATATGTGAAACCATTACCACGGTCAAGATAATGAACATATTTATCACCACGAAAGGATGCTCATATCCCCTCTTCCATTCCAGCACCCACTCCCAGCCAGCCACTGGCCTGTCAGTATAGATGAGTTTATATTTCTAAAGTTTTATATAATGGGAGCACAGAGTGTGTACTTTTTGGGGTGGGGGTATTTGATTTCTTTCCCTTAACGTAGCCATTTTGAGATTCATCCATGCTGTTGCATGTGTCAAGGAAATTATTCCTGTTTATTGCCACGTAGTATTTCATCCTGTGGATCTACCACAGCTTGGGTTATGTCCGTTTCTGGCTATTAGAACTAAAGCTATGAACATTATCTACACATGTTTATATGGACATAGATTTCCTTTTCTCTTGGGTAAATACGTAAAAGTGGAATGGCTGAATATGTTAGGGTATTCTAACTTTTTAAGGAACTGCTGGCACTTGCTGTGGTCATCTATTTCATTTGAACCATTCTGATAAGAGTGCAGTACTAGTTCATTGTGGGTTTAGTTTTCATTTTGCTAGTGACGAATGACGGTGAGCATCTTTTCATGTGCTTCTTTGCCACCCACATACCTTCTTTGGTGAAGTACCAGTTCAAGTCAAATATTTGGTAGGAAATATTTGCAAACCATATATCTGGCAGTCTTTGTATCTAAATATATAAAGAACTCTCAAAACCTAACAATAAAAAACAAATAATCCAACTGGAAAATGGGCAAAAGACATGGACAGACATGTCACAGAGGAAGACATACAGATGACAAGTACCTGCAAAGCTGTTCCACGATTAGCCCTAGGGAAACGCAAATTAGAACTACAGTGAGGCGTCACTGCATGTCATAGTGGCTAATGTGAAACATAATGACACCACCGCGTGCTGCCGAGGATGTGCAGAACCGGAGCACTCATTCACTCTGTCAGGAGTGTAGAATGGTGCAGGCCCTCTGGGAAAGAGTACACAGGCTTCCTGTGACATTCGACCACGTGCTACCACGTGGCCCAGCAGTGCTCTCTTGGGCATTTACACTAAAGAAATGAAATATTATGTCCACACAGAAAGCTATACACAAATATTCATAATGGCCAAAACCTAGAAGAATAAGCCCTAATGCCCTTCAGTGTCCGAGTGGCTAAACGACGTGTGCAGCGGAGCCCCACTCACAGAGGAATGAGCTGCGCTGCTTGCGGCAGCGTGGGGGTCTCGAGGGCGTGTGCTGAGTGAGAAAAGTCAACCTCAAAAGACTGCGAACTGTATGATTCCACTTCTATGACATTCTCAAAGTAATTAAATGATAGAACAGATTGGTGGTTGCTGGGGGTTAAAGAATGGGGGAGAGGTGTCTGTGACTAAAAGTGTAGCACGGGGATGCCTGTGGTGGAACTCATCTGGATCTTGACTGCGGTTGTGTCACGTGCATCTGCATGTGATAAAATTGCACACAGTTAATTACACAGTGAGTGCAGGTAAAACTGATGAAATTAATAAGGCAGTGGATTGGGTCAGGCTCAGTTTCCTGGTTGTGACTGTACACTCCAGTTCTCCATGATGTTACCATTTGGGGAACTGACTGAAAGGCCTGTGAATCTACAATTATCTAAGTCCCTGACCC